TAATTTTTTTTAACAGCAAGAATAAACTTACGACGCGCAATAGCAATACAGTTTTCTTTCGCAAGTAGCCTCGATTAATTTTCAACGATTCGAAATCGACCGACACGAATAAAACGACATGTGCGCGAACAACAATGCGTGTTCCATGGATCATATCTTATCGCCATTATCGTGGATCTTACAGAAGAGGCAGGTTTATCTGCCGGAGGGAAAAAAATATGGGCCAGATAATTTTATAGTGTAACAAAAAGCCGCGCGAACAGAAATTCGAAGGAAGAAATTTGCTATAATACGTTTCGAATAAAAACATTTTCCACGTCAATATACACTTGTCATTGATCCCTATGTCTCTACTGAAAGCGGAACAATTGTGAAGTTTGATCAAAGCTACACGCTTGTTTCTATTGCTTTCATTAATTAATCTCTCCGCGAATATTTATACATTTTTTTGCAAATAATTTCATTGAAATTATGAATTTGAAACTTAGAATCTTTCTCGATATACTATATTTCTCGTATAAATATAACAGAACAGTTGACTTTAAAGTCATATAAGCTTTTCTGCAACACAAACGAAAATTACGAACGAACGATTTAGCAAACACGATTAAACAAAGCGGCGTGCAATAACCTTTATCAAAATAACGACATCTCGAATTGCGATAAATAGCGCATTCGATTAAGCATACCGTAAATTTTGTCGCGCTGACCATTTCAGTATCACGAATATTTTTCAAAGGAGTATTTATTTTCCAGGTTTTACAACAAAAAAAATATACATCCCCTTTGTTCATGCGGTAATCGGAAAATTGACAAAACCATCGCGTAGTCTATTAAGTATCAGGAATTTTAGGTTCCCGCAATTCGAGTCGCGATTCGAGTGACAAGATTTTTAATTTAATCAAGAACGATATCTATATATTTTACAATTAAACGCAATCGACTTTAGTACATGGTATCCAACCTCGTTTCAACTTTTTATTCCGTTTTTACGGAACTAATTTTAAGACTGATTTTTACAAAACTGATTCTACACGCTTGTGGGTAAATTATACCGTCAGTAATTTATCGAATCGATTGCGCATCGAACATAGAATCGCGAAGAATGAATCGAACAATGAAATCGTGCAAAGGATCGACGCGACGAAGAGCGAGTGGACTCGCTAGATTCTCGAATATCACAAATACGCAATCATACGTAGAAATGGAAAACCGTGAAAAAAAAGAGAAATAAATTGGAAAGTGTACTCACCTCCGAGCGCTGCGATAACCTCTTGTTCAACTCGTGGATCCTGTAGTCCGGTTGGTTGTATCCATAGGCTGGAGTATGCCTCCTGGGGACAGGCAACGATCTGTCAGATCAAACCGATCGCTCATGTTAGGCGTGCTGTGTCTAGCGTGTTATTTTCGTGTGTATACGTCGCGAATGTTTCATGCATGCATTACGCGACCTCCTCTCCCCATCGCTGTATCGCGTCGCGTTGCGTCGCGTTGCTACATTGTGCGCCCGAATTTTCGTAAGGCGCCCCGAGGGGTGCGACTACACACTACCCCTAGGTCGGCACTACCCCCATCCTCTTCGAGCATGTGCACGCCACAAAACGCGCTCGGACGTGGCATAGATTCGCGAAATGTAGTTTACGACTTTCACCACGACCACGCCATTCTCAGTCCCTTTAATGCATCGCGTTACGGAAGCGGAGGTTTCAAACAGCACAGCCTCGAAGGGTTTGACGCAATGCCAGTTTTTAATCGACTTTCTCAAAAAATTGTTCCATACTTATTCGCTTAGTGTCGTCAAAGTGAATTTTCCGGAATAAGAATGTTGTTAGATCATTATTATAATAAAATAATTATATCGAAAGATATGAAAATACAGCCAAATGTGACTTAAATTCAATAGATTTTTTATAAAAACGATTTATTCCTTGAAACCTGATACTACTACTCTTATTGAATTTTATAAAATAATTATAGTATTAATACATTACCGTATTAAAATAATTATTAATTTAAGTAAGTAATAGTAATTTCCGCAAATTCTGATTTCAACATTTTCGATATTCGAAAATTCAAAGATTCAGATTTGTCTTATTAGTACAGTCACTGCTAAAAAATATTTCTCAAGCATATTTATTATATATACGTACAACGGTTTTTCATCGAGGGAATTTAGGCGATTCTCTATTGTCCAATTTTTATCAATGTAGAAGTTAGGCTTAATTTCGGTTTAATTTATTTTAGGAAAAAATAAAAAAAATGTAAAACACATTAAAACTCCTCTAAACTAAGAAAAATTTCCGGTTAAAAATGAACGAACCAGAAGACCTCTGGTCACATCGATCAGAATTTAAATTCTCAACCAGAATTATAATAGATTCAATCAGAAAATTCTGCTTTTTATTCATTTTTAACCAGAATTCCAATTAATAACCAGACTTTTTCCAGTGTATTAGTAGAAACGGACATAAGACAGAGAAGTAAGCGATTTAATAGTTTAAATTAGATATAAGAACCTAAAACCTTGATATATAAAATTACCTACGAATATGAAGGCCTTTAAAACCAATTTCTTATTTAATAGCGCGTATACGATCTGAAAACGTGTATCGACGAAAGTTCAGCCGCTCAGCTGTTTGGTAAAATAACGCTATATCAAATCAATAATGATGCGAAGGTCGTTGTATTTATTCTGTCAGTACAATTGTTGGCGATCATCCAGACACCGATAATTTAATGTCACGAATCAATTATAACATTATCAAACATATTACACGATATAGCAAGCAATTTTCACGAATTAGCCAATACAACGACAAACTGATTGCAATAATTTTGTAATGACAAACATAAACGTAAATTTATTCAGTATTTTTTGTCTCACTTGAGACCGTTATATTTATCGCTTCATTATAGTGATCTATTAATTTATTTAATCAAACGATTCATCTCTCTCTCTCTCTCTCTCGGTTAATTTTAAGATTAAAGATTTTTAAAATATTTATCTCATATCACAAAATAAATCATCCGCACAATGTTTTTTATGATCTTTTTTTTTTCCATCTGTATTCCTGAAACAAGAGACGATATTGTTAGATGCCTTAATCGATGCAAATCATCGAGGATCGGCTCCCGGTCATTCGTAGAGTAACAGTTGGTTAACCGGAGGATAATTAACGTCGCGTTGATAATATTTAGTGCTCGGAATGCCCGGGCCGGTGTGTACTGAGCGCATATTCGCGCCCCGAGGCCGGACGAGCGATCATTAAGAAGCGAGCGCGGTGCGGTGATTAATAACAAGAGTACGCAGAATATTCCAGAGAGAGGCAACACAGAGAGTCCGAACGCGCCGCACTTCCGGTAACGAATTTCGGGATTACGTTTGGCCCACAATCGATACTACATTTAGCACATTACGCGTTCATACGCGACATTTCGCGTGACGCGCGGATTCCGCAACGTAACGTTCCAATGGAAAAGAAGAGGAAGTAAAGATCGAACGTTTCTTTTCGGAATAAAAATTGTAAATACTAGATGTCTATCGAATACAAGATTATTATGAGAGATCGAGAGATCACCTGATGCTTAGGGCGATCTTATTTTAAGAGCGTTTTAAGCTAAGTAATGCTTGAAAATGCTAATGCAACCCTCTGATTAGCTTATGACATCTTAATCCTTATCGTGTATACGTTTTTTAGTACCCATTAAGTGTATATGGGGGTCATTCATGTCCGGCGTATTTTTTTTTAATGAATTAAGTGGTTCAAAAAATATGAAAAAATTCATATAGTTTCCTTAACTGTTCTATATGAAAGATTTATACATAATTTAATAAATCTGTTTATTTTTTTTTTAATATTTTATTTTTGCGAAAATATAAACACAAATTAGTATAGTAGTGGTACGTTCAAAAATTTGTAACTTTTGATCAAATCGTGAAATTTAAACTAAAAAAAGGAAATATAGTTCAAAGTTCATATTTTAATTTAAAAAAAATATATAAAAAAATTAATTTTTTAATAATAACTTAAATGATTAAATTCGGGACATAAAATCTTACAATTTTCAAACTTATAAAAGTAAGCATTCCTACGAAAAATTGACATTTTACTTTAAAAAATTCATTTTTTATTCAAATCTATAATCTCATACATTTTCAAATAAAAAGACACTTATAAATAAAAAATACATACGAGACATTATAAGAGAACAAAGAAATCATAACATCTCTTCTGCAAAGTGATTTGCCATTTTTATTCTAAGATAACACTGAATAAAAATGTTGTCGTTATATATATGTATTTTACTTACAAAAATAATCAAGAAACACGAAAAAAAATCATTTCTTATTTGTACAACAAATATGCGTTGAATATATACGGAAGTCATTTTGTGTCCGCGCTCAATTTTGAATATCCACTGCACAGCAAGAACACTGTCTTTTTCTATCCCACAGTTCTTTTTAAGAATAGAACAGTACTCAGAAATGTATTCATTTGTTTTCAAAATATTCATAATTTTAAAAATCGCCTGGACACAAATAACCCTCGTATACACGGTGAGGGTTAAGGCAGTTTCAAATATAAGAATCAACTATAAATATCGGCCTTAGAGCTCCAGATTTACAAAAATAGTGCATTTCTTTTATCTAGAGAATGCCGACAATCGCGTTATCCTATTGGTTGCTTCTTTTATTTCGATTGTCATTTTTTACCTAATTCATCTATCGTCTCATAAAAAAGAAAGCGCTTAGTAATTCTTTAATATACAATTATTAAGTCAAACATGGTAATTGTTTACATACTTTTGTAAATCTAGAGCTCTCTATTGATGCCTGGTGCAAGTCGGAAGAAGTCGGACTTTTCCCCGAACTCGTAATATCGACCTTCACGTGCCACGATTTCTTCCGCGTATTGGTAACCTTGTAAATCGCTATGCTAATTAGAACGCACTTAGTTGCAGCGAGAGACAAAGATAAACAGAGTACACGTAAAACGTTGCGATAATGCGAGAATGATAATTGCGCGGATTGCTAATGTACATGCGTCTTAGAGACTGAGAGACAGACTTGTTCCTCGACATTGCAAAAGTATACATTATTGCTTTATTCGAGTTCTATTGAATCTACCGCGGAAAGATTTCTGGGATTTTCCACCGGATTTGTGATGTCATCGCGATATCAGTGCTAAACATCCGGTGTAACACAAATGATGACGCGAGATAATTCTTTTTACCGGTCGTTGAGCTAGATAGAGTTAATTTTAAAGTAAATAAAATATTTATATCTTCGTCCGTGTGTTCATTGAAAAAGGTTAAAAAAATGAGCCGAAACAAGTAAGGAAATAGCATACAATATTTAATGTATCAAATTAATTTGTTGAGTAATAATTATTTATTGCGCACAATTACCGCGCTTGATTCTTATGTTCTCTTTTTTTCGGTTTTAAATAAAATATTGCAATAAATATTGGATTTCAACAAATCAGAATCTCGATAGACAATGGCCTTCGGCGAATGAACGAGAGATAAGACGCTTCCTTTGAATCTTTGTTCGACGTGATCGATAAGATAATTTACTTGAACACATTCCTCGAAATCTATATTTTTCACGAGAAAGCTTTAAAAACTGCATAGATAGATAAACGTCTAATTTTGCAATAAATAATAAATAAATATATAGATTGATAGATATGCAAATTTCACTTATGTAAAAGTAAAATCAATTGAATAAATTGAGATGTTTATCGATAATTGATTGGAAATAAATCTGACAAATAATCAACTAAATGAATAATTATGAATGGCTAACAGATCAGATCGAGAGGAAGTTCGGAATGATTTCCTTATTTCATGTGCGAGAAAATACACCTCGTCCAAAGATCGATCGCGTCGGGAAAGAACTTGGACTTTCTCGTCTCTGGAGAATCGATGCCATGGGACACGTCACTGTCGCACACGCACACGCACGCGTATGTGTGTGTGCGCGCGCGCGCGCGCGCGCGAATCAGATTTGCTAGGGGTGAGTCGAGATCTCAAGGGTAGCAGGGGTAACCCACTGTCGTGTACGGTTTATTGGGGAATGACGGGACGCGTGGACAAATCTTTCGTCCCGTTCGCTGTATCGCTCGATTAAAAACGATTGTTCGACGTGACGTATTACTAATAATAATTTTACATAGAAAAATTAATGTTACTAAAGTATCTAAAAATTTACTACATACAGATCTGCCGAAAGTAATTTTGTTCCACCATCAAAATAATTATTATAAAGCTCAAGTATGATAAACAATGCTGTAAAAAATTTTGTCATTCTAGCATACCATAGTTAGAGCGTTCACACATCTAATTATTT